CTGAGACTCTTTGAGACTTATTTTTCAGCCTTCCTTCGTATGTCGTTTATCAGGGATATTGGCTTTGGACTTTGGACTTCATTTGTTTTGTGGTCTCTGTTTTCATCTCCTCTGTTTTACTGTAGATTGTCCCTCTTTTTCTCTCCTCCCTTCTCATATCTTTCTTTATTTCCTCTTGAATTATTCTCTTTATTTATCTCTTTGTCATTTTTCATAGTATAGCTCATTGAATTTAACAAAATGAAAGAGAAACATTGTAAATATGGTACTTAAAAAAATATATATATATATAAAAAATTGTAGAAAACTTTTACTCTTCACATATGGCATTTCTTCTCCTCAGATTCCCTGTCAGGAGGCCTCTCGCTTAACCGCTGTCGTGTTTGTCAGCAAACGAAGGAACAACACCTGTTAATCGAATGCGATACATGCGGGCACTACTACCATCTCTCCTGTCTCGACCCACCACTCACTCGCATGCCCAAGAAGACAAAACAGATGGGATGGTAAGTTTTGAGTGATTGAGAGAAAAAAAGAGCTAAAGAGAAAAATATAATCCATCTCTTGGTTATTGTTGTTGTTTTATTTTTATTTTTATTTTTTATTTGAAGGTGATTTAAGGGAATCTACTAGTTGTTACTCTAAAACGTGTCAGTGTATTTCTTATGTTTTAAATGAGATTTAGCAGATGTTGGATGCTGTGGGGGTGGGGGGGTATATTGGTACCTCACAGTATCAGATGGTTACGTTCTGAATACAGTAGAAAATTAGGGGACATACATACATACCATTACCCAAAATCATTGTAATCCCAAAAAATTTCATATGTATTCAACAATCCAAAGAGTTATTTAACCTAATTTTGACAATTAGAAAGTTGTTTTTTTGTCAGTTTTGTTGACATTCAAGAAATGATGTGCACATGTAGAGAATATATTTTAAAAAAGTAATCGTATCACACTTTCCATTAAGGGTTGATGGAATATAACATACATAGTAATGAGTGATCAACTTCCTGGCCATGTCTATTGTATGTGTCCTGAGCAATAGTAATGAAGTGTTCATAATTTTTTATCTAATGAGTTGGTTGCACTTTGCTTTCTTTCCTATTATCATAGCTAGTGCCCACAGAGATATAAAAATGATTTAATGATTACTGATAGTTATAGCAAAAAATCAACAGAATTTGCATTAGATTGCAAGATCCTTTTGAGCTTTATCTCATGGCATATAACAAAGCTGCTGTTCCATTACCAGGCAATGCTCCGACTGCTGCAAGTCTTCGGATTCAGACAAAGCCTCTGAGGTGGATACAGCTGCTCCCCGGAGGCTGCGCAGAAACATCAAGGAGCCGGCTAAGTTTTCCCCGTCTATTGCATCGGAACCAAAGGTAAGAGTGGCACACAGGCTTTTCTTGGAGGTGGTAAGAAGCTTAGGAAGGGGATCAGTCTTGCTGAATCCAGTTGGGATTGTTTAAGCTGAGTAATCTGCTGTGTGTATATATATTTTTTTGGGGGGGGAAATTGGTTATTGAGACTTATAAAAGTCATTTGCTTTGCTGTAATCAGTATAACAGTGATTTGTGAAAATTTAGATTTTGTACTAGTGTAGGTGCACAAACAAAATTAAGAGTTGTAGGTAGTAAATCTTTAGTAGTGGATTTTAAGTTTTGACAATCAGTGATGAGATTGTTTCCACACCAAAGCTATGTCTACTCCAGAGTGAGGGAGAAAAGACAGCCAGTGTGGGTTTGCTCCAGACAGGAAGCCAGAGCCAGCCTTTGCCAGACACTCCACCTGCCCATCTGTATCACCCTGGGGTTGGATCGCTGCCTGTGTCTGTGGAGGAGCCTCCTCCCAAGGCTGTGGGTAACAAGAGGAGGAAAAGTGGAGAGGGAAAGAAAACAGCAAAAAAGAGAAGAAAGTCACAGGGAGACACAGAGGCAGTCCTTACAGAGGTTGATCAGGGGAACAAATCAGTTGAGGCAAGCCCAGCCAGCAAAGTGGCATCATCACCTTCTACACCCAAGGGGAAGAAGGCTCAGGCTGACAGTGCTAGCAAGGAAATGCAACAAGTGACACCAGCAGAGCCACGCACAGGAAGGGGAAAGAAAGCTGCCCAGGAAGGGTCTCCTTCAACTGTAATGCCACCAACAACAGAACCATTGTCTCCCAGCAAGACACGTAGGGCTCAGAATGATGCCTCTTCTATCGGACATGAGATGCCTCAGCAGACCTCCTCACCTTCTCGCCATAGACGACAAATACAAGAACAAAGCACAGATGTGTCGAAATCTCCTCAGGTGTCCCTGTCACAGAGTCTTAAGACTCAGGGTGATTCCTCAGTAGAAGTGGTGGAGGTGCATCAGCCCCATCCTTCTTTACCACCTGGCCTGGAGTGCATCCCTGTGACCTCATCAGGGACAGTAGCAGAGACTTCGGAGTCGGTGATGCGCCGGCGTGCAGGCAGCAATATCCACCTGGACACAAGTGTGGAATCCCTTCCGTCAGTAGCATCTCTTCATTCCCCAACCTCCGAGTCTTTCCACTCAGCTGAAGATGATCCAATGTCGCCCCGGAAAGAGAAGAGGCACCGTGATGGCAGCAAGAAGAAGAAGAAGGATAAAGACAAGGAGCTGGAGGGAGGCAAGAAGAGGAAGAAGCATCACCACAGGGACAAGCATGGCCTTGGAGAGATGGCCTCAGAGATGGTCACTCCTGTCAGGATCAAGGTTGGTGGTGCTCTCGAATCAAGAGAATGCTCTCGTTATGTAACCTGAAAGCAACCCTATCAGTTTTCTTTTACACCTAAGTATGTTTTTATTTGCATGAAAAGACTCTGAGCCCCATTAATAAGACATTCACACTATTTAGTGATTCAAAGGTTTAAAAAAAGAAATCAGACTGCACATTTCAGTACTCCCATACAACTAGTTTCCTCCCAGTGTCTTCAAATTGAAAACCTAACAGAGTAGAAGATAAATTATCTAGCATATTTTTTTTTTTTTTTTTTTTTTTTTTTTTTTTTTTTTTTTTTTTTTTTTTTTTTTTTTTTTTTTTTTTTTTTTTTTTTTTTTTTTTTTTTTTTTTTTTTTTTTTTTTTTTTTTTTTTTTTTTTTTTTTTTTTTTTTTTTTTTTTTTTTTTTTTTTTTTTTTTTTTTTTTTTTTTTTTTTTTTTTTTTTTTTTTTTTTTTTTTTTTTTTTTTTTTTTTTTTTTTTTTTTTTTTTTTTTTTTTTTTTTTTTTTTTTTTTTTTTTTTTTTTTTTTTTTTTTTTTTTTTTTTTTTTTTTTTTTTTTTTTTTTTTTTTTTTTTTTTTTTTTTTTTTTTTTTTTTTTTTTTTTTTTTTTTTTTTTTTTTTTTTTTTTTTTTTTTTTTTTTTTTTTTTTTTTTTTTTTTTTTTTTTTTTTTTTTTTTTTTTTTTTTTTTTTTTTTTTTTTTTTTTTTTTTTTTTTTTTTTTTTTTTTTTTTTTTTTTTTTTTTTTTTTTTTTTTTTTCCTGTCAGTTTTCTTTTACACCTAAGTATGTTTTTATTTGCATGAAAAGACTCTGAGCCCCATTAATAAGACATTCACACTATTTAGTGATTCAAAGGTTTAAAAAAAAAATCAGACTGCACATTTCAGTACTCCCATACAACTAGTTTCCTCCCAGTGTCTTCAAATTGAAAACCTAACAGAGTAGAAGGTAGATTATCTAAGCATACACCTATCAATTTTTTTTTTCTTTTTATCTGTTGTGTCTCTCCCTTAGATTAATAAGAAATAATGTAATTGATTTTATTTATATGTGGATTTATGATTTCCAGGAGAAACTTGTCTAGGGTAGTTTTACTATATTGTTTTCAAATTCTTTTGCTTATAATAGTTGCTAAAATTTGCCAGATCAGAGATCATTCGATTATTGTATACTACAGATGCAATAAGTTCATAAGTGAAATGCACTCTTTAGAGTGAAATATTTTTTTAATGCAACTTGTTTCTCGTCCCTCCCCTTTTTCTTTCTCTCTTTTCTATCTCTTGTTCTATACAAACCTAATGATTGTTAGCAGGCAACTGTACAGTACATACCTTTGCAGAATCACCATATTAGATTACTATATTTTTACTGCATATTGCTCTGTTGAAATATTTACTGTAATTATATGGCTATCTTTATAGGATAGATATATAGGTGTATACAGTTAATCTGATTTCTATATTGTGTAAATGTATTACACCTTCAATAAGGTAAATTGATGTATTATGTTATATTTTTAAACTTTCTCTTTGCAGATCAAGCCTCTGCGTCCCAGGCCACTGGAAACCTCCCCTCCTGCCACCATTACCACGCTCCCTTCCACTGTTGGCACTACATTGGCCCCTGTCCCTGCTATTCCCCCAGTGACACCCACATCCATTGCACCATCCAGTGTCAGCATAACACCTGTCATTCCCACCAGCTACCAAACAACCACACCCCCTGCTGGCTATCCTCCCTTGCCTCCAGGATACACTCTCACACAGCCCATGGCCCCCCCTTCCAAGCTGGGCACAGTGTCATCAACTTCCTCCCTTCTTAGCATTGCCAGCCAGGCAAGCACGGTAAGACCAACATGGGTCTTTTTTCTTGTGTTGTTATGAACAGTTTGTCCTTTTAAGCAAGAAGAACTCATATATAGTAACTCCTGTTATTTTACACATTATCCAACATTTCATTTTTCCAACATGGATAGAAATTTGTGCCCTGTTTTAATTAGATGACATTTGCCCTTACTATGCCATTGCATACCATGCCAAGTCAGCTCATATGTAGACTTATTGTTGTTATTATTTGGTAAGACAAGATGATGTAGAGTAATACAGTACTGAGTCTTCTCAGAAAATAAAGGGAAGGAATGGAATGGAACTACAATCTTAAGTAAGCATAAAGCTGTCAACCCATACCATAGGTTACTGTCACATAACTGCATCGCTGATTTGAATTGACCAAGGAAGAGTGTGTGTAAAATGATGAGTTATACTATATTTTCCCTTTTTATACATTTTTATACAGTCAAGTTGGTGGTAAAGCATTGTGGGAAAGAAACAAATTTTCCAACCATTTTCTGTGGAACATATCACAATTGGATAATGGGGATTATATGTGTGTGTTTGTTTATTGTAAGGAAAAAAATTAGGATTTTTTAGGATGATGCTGTGAATCAGAGGTCCATTCTAGCACAATAAATCATTATCTCCATCACAATACAAATGCATATATATATATACATTAAAACGATAGATAAATTTATTTATCAATACATAATTTGAAAGTTTCTGTTATATTTGCCATATTCCCTTTCATATTTCCAGAGCATCACGAACACCTTTACTACCAGTGGAACCTCACGAGTGTCCCCAGGTGGCAGTGGCACTGGCAACCGCAGGCGTTCAGACCCAAGTGACCCGCAACAGTTTAGCAAATGTGATGTTTGTGGAGAGACGGGAGGAGTAACCAACACAGTTTCGTAAGTTTAGATAAACTTTATTGAAATAGGTTGACACTGCATTGTAGATTTGAGTTATTGTTTGACACTTCAGATTGATTGTAAATTTTTCAAAGTTTAGTGTGGAAGACCAAATGAGTTTGAATCCATGTTGAATCATTGATATGGTTAAAGAAAAATGGAAGAAAATTAATTACCTTAGTGGAGATATAAACAAAATAGCCCTTACCTCAGGACTGTAAAAGGAGGTTCTGATCATTATTGATAAATAGCTTGTATAATTAATCCTCTACCCACTTTCTCTTTGATTTTAACAGCTGTGATGAATGCCACAAAGCTTACCATTTCAACTGCTTGGAACCGCCCCTTAAGAAGTCTCCCAAACGCCGCGGATACTCTTGGTTCTGTGAGGACTGTGATAATGCGGTAAGGACTGTTGACTTGGCCCATATTCAGTGGAATATGGCCATCCCGCAAGGCTACTGATAGCTTTTGTTCATGTGTTTGTTTGTGCATTTGGCCTTGGCTAAGAATGCTTGTTTTTTTGTTGTCTGCTTATGTATCAAATTTTATTTGGAGTTTTTAGCAAAAATATTGTTTCTACATTGAGTGTCACATTAGCTCAGAAAAAAAAAGTGAAAAAAAGGATATTTTTACGTATTTCTCAACCTTTTCATTGGTTTGAATGATACTTTTAAGGTTTCTTTTTAATGGACCATGGAGGTGTTTTTTAAGTTTGTTTGTTTTTTTCTTTTTTAAAGTATATTGATATCATTTACTGCAAAGATAGTAGTTACTATTCTGTAGGTAAGCTGTAACATTTAATAATTGTAGTTAGTATTATTTTTTGAAAGAGTAGTATCTCCTCTTAGCAAGGGTTTGCAATGAATTTGCATGGATGTAGCATGTTTTTTTTGTTTTTTTTTTCCCTGTGGAAAATAATTCTAGTTAGGTAAATTTTCATTTCTAGTCTTTTAGCAGTAAATCTGAGGCTTACATGTAGAATCTTTGCATGTGTAATTATCATTCAAGCTTGGCAATACCAATTTTGAAGAAAATATAACCACACTTGAACTTATTGACTTTTGCTAGTAAAGGAACAAGAAAGATTTTGTAGAAGTAAGAGCCGTTTTTAGGTCCACAAATGATATCTAAAATTATTCCAAGACTGAAGAGTGGATCCAGCTATTGCCAATATGCTCATCCTCCATCCTCTTGTTTGGGTTATTTTACTGTGGCGGATATTTCTTTGACCTTTACCTTTTTGTCCATGTGCCTATAAGGTGTTTTACTGTATAAACTCTCCCCCTGCCATTCTTTCTGAGTTCAGCACCATACTGGTTAACTGTAGATTATATCTCATGGAAGTGAGACCATCAACATTTCATAGGCTATGATTTTGATTTTCTGCAAACATGGTAAATTGCAAATAGACTTTAGTCCATACAGTAGAACACCTTAAGGTACTGTTGATATATTAGAAACAGAAGTATTATTTCTAATATTTACTCCTGGTAGAGTTGGGGATAACATTCTAGATAACCAATATCATGCAGTCTCTTCATGGGAGTGTTTTGTAAGTGGGGTAGATGAGTTGAAAACAGTTTCCCCTCCCCCACTAGTTGCCATCAATGGCACACCATTGCACGATGACACAGGATCATATATTTTCCTCTTTTTTCAGACGTAGACCTATGGGTGCACTCCTGCCCTACACGCAAGCATTTTCTAATGGGTTTGGTACCTCTCCTCTCTCCTCTGCTCTTGGGATGAATGCAAATGCTCTTGAATGAGGCCCTCAAAACAAGAGTAATTTGGTTAGAGGTTTATTCTTTATTCTTCTTCTTTTTCTTTTTTTTTATGTAAGTATCCTCAGCGCAGGAACCAAGCTTCTTTGTCTTGATTGTAGTTTCTTCAGTTGTTCATGATGAAACCAACGATGTAACTTATTTTCTGGTTTATACTTTTATTAAAGTGGAATTGTATATTTCTCTTTTACTATGTAAAATATAAATGGAGAGCTCATGAAATTTCTTGGAATCATGTCCTGGTTCTTTTTTTACCAGAGAAATGTGTGTTATTGAGAGAGTGAATATATTTGAGTTAATAGAGTGAGAGAGAGAGAGAGAATGTGTTTGTGTTGGTGTGAATTCACGCATATAAACATGCACACGTGTGTGCGTGCGTGCGTGTGTGTGTAAATGTTTATAACGTAACAAAAATAGGAGATATTTTATATCCAATTTAAGGACATAAAGGGTGTTTGCAAGTGGAATTGATAGTATTTTTGAAGAACATGCCTACTTATCTGTATAATAGGTTGTATTACTAAGAATATACAGTCTTGTGTTCAACATTTGGAAAAAGAAATCTCACCCCTTATCCCAGTAGATACTTCTAATCTTTTGGTAAAGGTTTCTAAATCTCAAATAGTAATACTAGTGTTGTGTAAAATCAAAATGATTAACACGCTCTTGGCTGGGATATTTATGATGCAGTAAAATTCTCAGTATGGTGTTTTTTTTTAGGAGATACTGATATTAAGAGGATTGATATTATTATCATTATTATAAGTGCAAAGGAGCCAAGGAAAGGCGATGACTTAGGTAATTAGATATTATCTTCTATTTTCTTAATAGCAAGGAATGTGTCAATATCCAAGAGATATTTCTAATGCTCAATAAATATTGTGAAAAATACTATTTATCCGTGTCCTTTGATGTGGAGGTTGAAATTTCATTTTATTTATAAGATGAAAATGTGTGTAGAAAAGTAAAGAGCATTTTAGAAATGTAATTTATGTACTTGTTTTGTTGTCATCATTGTCAGTAATTTATTGAATTACTGTTTTATTTTCTATTTATTACAAAAATACCCATATGTGACAGTGTTTTCAGTGAGATGTTTTTCATGCCATTTATAAAGCAAATGGGTCACTCATATAAACAAATTTTGTACATAGCAACTCATTCCATTTTCAACTTGCACCTCCACACTGTTTGTTAAAATTGTAAACAAAGTAATAATTTTGTTGCCAAGATTTATTGTGATCCATATAAATGTACTGATCAATAAAACTTGGTCAGGCAATTTATTACTAAACAATGGGTTATATATGTGTGTGTAGGGATGTTATTTTCATAGTAACATCTAAGGCAAATATGGTGGTTAACTATGAAAATTATGTCATTAGTGAATAATGTGCATCAGCGGAATAAATTTTTAATTATAAGTTTTGTGTTATTTTCCTGTTCCCAGTTTTGAAGGATTCTGATTCTGTATTTATAGTTTTTTTTTATATGGATGCAGATGTTATGGAAGCAAAAATGCAAATGTGACTATAATTTGACTTTTATGCTGAGAAATATCTACATGGCTTAAAAATCATCTGTTTGCATTTCATATTCCTAGGAATGGTGTGAATGCCTGATGACAATTTTCTGAAAAGATAAATCATTTATTTTTCTTGTTTACTGTAACTTTCCTTATATTAGTGAAATTAACAATTCCTTATCATTATCAGAATGTCATGTAATCTTTAACCTTTTCACCCCCTCCCCCCTTGATAACCTTCCTTTTTTTTTCTTTCTTTCTCTTTGTCTAATGTTATAGTGCATTAACATGTTCCAAGCAGCTGGCAGTGAAGCCAACTCTCACTAATGCATAAGGAAAACTACTGCCATATCAGAAGGCTTGATTGAACTTAGGGAACAAGATTTAATTATGACATTTAATCAGAGAATTATGAATTGCACAAAGAAAGTAATTTTATATATGAAATCTGTTGTTTATCACCATAATCAAACTTTTTTTTCCACTAATATATATACACACCACCTCCTGTTTCACTGCAGTTTGGTCTGTATTAGAAACGATTCAGTCTTAAAATTTTAAGCTCCTGAAAACAGTCCTCTCAATTTAATCCTCACATTCCTTTTTGCCACCACTCCTGATCAAATTTCTTCATAAAAGACACCGGAGTTCTTCCAGATGCAAGTTAACCCAACGCTATAGAATCCAAAAGCCTGGTCATTGGTGCATCTTTGTAGTTTTCCCCATTGGATTAACTGGCTTATAACTTGTAATGTATCCCTGTGCACTGGATTTTTAGAAGGGAAGACATAAACTGTAAGGGCACTAAATGGTCTTGTAATTTTATCCTAATAATTGTACTAAATATAAAAGCATACGTATTTATATTATTAGTATTGGGATTCCAAAATGGAGGACTAAAGATGAGAGATGAAATACATAGCATATGATTTGTTGTTTTGTGAAGTCAAATTTTAAGCAACATATGGTGTTTTTCTATAGATATTAAAAGATTTGTATTTCATCTGAGGGCTAGATAAAGTCTGACCATTCATCATACATATATACATATATTTACTTTCCATGGGAAGGATAAAACTTGAGAATATGTGTCAGTCATTTTACTGGAAACAAAAAAAAAGTTTAAAATTACCTGTAAAACATAACAAACTATATTACACATGTAAATTATTGGAAACACCATGAGAAACATTCATTCGTGCTTAGAAAAATACTTCCGATGCAAAATGCTCGCAAACAACGCACTCTTTCGTAACATGAATTTTACATGTTTTAAAATATCGATCATTTGCATAACCTCTGTCTCCAGTCTTACCTTTGCATTAACTTTCATACAATGTCAAATTCAAACATGTAAAAATTCACATATAATGAATACATAAACCTATGCTATAAATAACACTTTCCCTCCACGTTTATGTTACCAGACCTAAAATGGTAATCAAATATATAAAGTCACTTTCAGTCTTTTTTATTAATTTTGATACACTAATATCTACAATCATTTCTTCACTTTCTTCTCTTTCTTCATTTTCTTCCCTTTCTTTTCTTTGTTCCCTTTAACGCCTTTCTTTCCAGCCATTTCTTTCTCTACCTTTTCTTCTTTCTTTTCTTCTGTTTCTTTCTTTCCAGTCACTCCATTCTTTTCATCACTGACTTCTTTTTTGTCTTTAATTTTTTTCTTTCCCTTCACTACTTTCTTCCCATTTACGAGTTTCTTTTCAGTAGATACTTCCTTTTCATTCACTGCTTCCTTTTCATTCACTGTTTTCTTTTCATTCACTGCTTTCTTTTCATTCACTGCTTTCTTTTCATTCACTGCTTTCTTATCATTCACTGCTTTCTTATCATTCACTGCTTTCTTTCCATTCACTGCTTTCTTTTCATTCACTGCTTTCTTTTCATTCACGGCTTTCTTTCCATTCACGGCTTTCTTTCCATTCAGTACTTTCTTTCCATTCAAGACTTTCTTCCCAGTCAGCACTTTCTTTCCAGTCAATGCTTTCCCTCCTTTTTTCCCTTTCTTTGTTTTCTTTTCTTCCTCTTTTGCCTCTTCTTCCTTTTGCTCAGTCTCCTCCATCTTTTCTGTGGTCTCTTCTGTCTCTTCTGTCTCTTCTGTCTCTTCTGTTGTCTCTTCCTGTACAGTAATTCTTGGTCCGTCATCCAGTTTCTTTAACTTTGCAACAAAGAAGCCGTCCATGTTATAGGAATGGGGGTACACACGCTTGCACAGGTGCATGTTAGAGTCAAACCTGAAATAAATTTATTTGTGTATTAAAATCAAGGCTCTCATTCAGTTACAGTGCATCCAATCTCGATATATACAGGAAGCCACACCCCTTCTGTTATCAAAGTGCACGTCATCATTTAACATCCAACCCGAAGGCTGATATCATCTCACAATAAAATTCAATATTCCTCAAGATAATCATGAATGTCCTTATAGAAAAAGTATATGAAAAGATGACAAGAAGCTATAAAACGAGAGGAAATGTAAGGAGATTGACAGCTGAAAGAATATCATATTTTTCACTCATCCACTCATTTTCACAACTATGAAATAAGTATAAGAATAAAGTAGGGCCTCTAAGATTATCAATAGTCACTGCAAAAATTGTGCATAAACTAATGACAGACGCAAGGTAGTTTTCTTAATGGAAGAATCTACAACCCTAAAAGCTTTATTCACCCAATACTCTTTGAGCATGATTACTGAACTTATTAGAAAATCCATCTATTCTAATCTGGCAAGGATTTATGCCATGCTGTCAGCCTGCCCCAATCGAGTTCTCTAAATAGTTGTTTGCTTATTTTGCTCTGACTGCAGCTGGTGAGGAGTTACAGCCTCTCAAAAGCAGGGTTAGAGCATGTTTTAACTTCAATTCACTGGAAATTTGCATTATACCCAAACACAGAGACCAGGGTAGGTATGCAATCCTCATGCTCCAAACTTTTCACTAGAGCTGGAGAAGTACTACTATTCAAATTATGAGTCAACAAATCATGCTATTCATGGATGAGAAATATAATTAAGAATGTCAGCCATCTATATCAGGGTTTATATATCCAGACTGAAAGAACTAAACATGACTGCTACATGCAACCATCTGCTTGAACATCCACTGCTCTATCCACAAAGATATACATGTCCAATTATGAATTAAGTATTCAAGAAATCAGTTTCTGAAGAAATTACAATATGTAGATCCCAATGGCCTCAATAAAATCTTTTTCAGGCCACAAAATATCTTCTTAACAAAGTGAGGGAACCCATATTATATCATTTCACAGATCCTGTTTTTGAAAAGGTAAAATAAATACATAATAGTAATAGCAATAGTAATAAAGATGATGATAATGATAATGCTAAAAAAATTTTTATATATTATATATATATATATATATATATATATATATATATATATATATATATATATATATATATATATATATATATATATATATATATATATATATATATCTTATGAACACAAACAATGTAAATGGAAGAATAATGAGGAGAGAGAAGAAACACAATGACAAAAGATTTTTTACACTTCATTACTACTACTTTATGCCCTGTGAAAGAGGCCCTCAGTGTAATTGTGGTTCCATGCTCTTTCCTTCATTGTTTTATTTACACAGATCGTTCATATGTGCAGTGTAATACTCACTTGTGCCCTCTGTAGTGAATATATCCTGGCTTGCCAATTTCTAAGCCTGTTGGCACTAGCTTTACTTTCCTCTTCCTCAAGGCATAGTCAATAACTTCCTCGTTTTCTTCCACCTGTTTGGAGAGTATGGTAAAAAAAAACAATGGAAATGTTGAGATGATAATATAAAAGTAGAAAAAAAAAGTGTTTTTACAATTTAAACATGTACAGAATTGCAACATCCATATCTTTGAAAACATTGCATATCCAACAAAAATTAAAATGTTGAAAGACTAACCAAGATGGAGCATGTGGAATACACAACATAACCATTTTCCCCATTGTATTTGTGTACAGAGTCAATAGCCGCTAGCAGGAGTTCTCGCTGAAGATGAGAGCATCTCTGAATATCCTTGGCATCCTTGGTAATCTTCACACTCTCGTCTTTGCTGATGACACCTGTGCCCGAACAGGGTGCATCTAGCAGAATGCGGTCGAAGGCTCCAGGCATTTTCTGGAAGTAAATGAACACAGGTCTATCATCAGTTTTTGTTTGACCCTAACATCTTTTCCTACTGATTTAACCCATTCGCGCCGGATAAAAATGAACAAAAAACAGGGAAAATGCTGTGCTCAATTTTTATATTTTTTTGTGAAAGGACTATACACTAGATGGCTCTGCCTTATAAAGAACTAATTGGTTGTGTGCATGTGTATATATGTATGTGGATAGTTGAGTACATTCACAGTTTAGCATATGAATATGAAAGAGGCTCTCCCAACTAAACCCTTACCTTGGCAAACGCACGTCCATCCATGTTGGTAATCAAGGAATTGGTGATTCCCATTCTGTGAAAGTTGCCCACAAGCGCCTTAACTCGAGCAGCATGTACATCATTACTGACAATCATACCAGTATTTTTCATGATAGCAGCTGTAAAGAAAAATTGTTCAATATTAGATATATCTTTTAAAACATGCTGTAGAATCATTAGTCAATATCAGACTCTATCTGTCATTCAAATACATTATATTCTTATGGATGTAATAAATTCACCCAATGTGATCTACATGTAGGGAGTGATTTTTTACCTATATGTGTTGACTTTCCACCTGGTGCAGCACACATGTCAAGCACTTTTTCTCCATTTTTGGGTGCCAGAGCCATCACAGGAAGGAAACTTGATGCTCCCTGTTGTAGAAAAAACATAGACAAATATAAAATCCTCCATGAAGTAACTACATGATACAAAGATGAATATCCTCCACACCAATATTAAAAAAAGGGAATAAAAGATCAATTCAGTTAATTAAGTTAAATGAGACAAATAGTCAGATTGTTTAAACCACCTGTTTTCAATTCTAGAAAATACAAATCAGTATCCCTAATAGAACAAACAAAAACCTTTTGGTATAACACAGTCTACCACCTCACCTGTATAAGGTACTGTCCAGCAAGGTACTGTGGTGTGGCTCCCAGGGCTACTGATCCAGGAGTCTGCATAACGATGAGGCCCACCTTTGACCACGCAATTACATCAACATCTACGCCCTGGTCGATGAGTGCACTGGCCAAGAGCTTTCGTCGCGTCTGATGATGAGGTAAACCGTAAGTGGTCTTAACATTTTTGAAGACATTTAATCGTAATGCTGCCGAATAACTCCCTACCACAAACTAGCTTTCAGTATGTTTAGATATTCCTTCAGCAAAATCATTACAGCTCATAACATAAATGATACTGTTACTTCTGACTCTGATATTGAGCAAGCAGCATAGAAAAAGAGAGAATTCTTCGACTCACTTTCAGCGTATTGGTGCGGATGGTCACTGGTCTCGGACGTTCATTAGCCTCCAGAAACTCCACGAGCTCTGTGACGCCAAACATGTGCAAGAGCTTCTCCATGAGGAACTCATTATATGAGTAGTACGTGGTGAGATCTTTCAGAAAGATGCTTAGGTATTCAGACCGACTTCTCCCTTCTTCTCTTCTATTACTGCAAAGTCAAAAGTATTGTCTAAAAGGCGGCACAGTAATTCACGAATCACGTACAAAGTAAGTACAGTACATATTACTATCAAAATGCATAAGTGAGAAGCATGTCACACAAAAGTTCAGAAAAGACACAAAAAACTAACCTGAAATCAGACAGTATGAAAGCGATATCCTTGATACGGGACTGGACGTTTGCCAGGTCTGGATTTTCTGACAATTCTTTCTCCACTTCCTCGATTGTTGGTATCTGTATTTCGAGTTTCCCAGCAGCTTCTTCCATATATGCATCACCTTCAGCACTACAGATAGTAAATGGGGTTTATTATGAGTTACAGAATTATCCATAAAATATTCATGTTTGGCATATTAATAGAACTGGACAAGTAAATGACTTATCATTTCTCAACTCATTACCATTTGTTCTATACAGTGCAAACATTTTCTGAAGCTAAATGCAAATTTAACCAGTTATTATACTAATGAAAATATATATTGGTTGAAGGACCAATTTATGTATACACATATGCACATATGTATACTACCTAGCTTAACATTCATTACATGTACTTACTCCTCAGCTTTCTTTTTCTTTTCCAATTTCTTAGATAGTTTTTCAATGTCATCATCATAATCATCATCTTCATCGAACTCATCATAGCTATCGACCTCATCATCTTCCATTTCATCAAAGCCATTCACGTCGTCATCATCGTCATCATCAAACAAAGTAGATTTTGGTTTTCCACTTGTCTGTTCCTCCAGTTCTTCATCTGACCCTTCTGGGGAGTCGAGCTGTTGTCCATCGCTGCCGGCATCTTCTTCTATCCCCCATTCAAAAAGAAAATATATTATAACACCTATTCTATATCTTTATTAATAAACTTACATTAGGCCAGAAACTTCTTCCTGTGTGTATTTAATGCAGTATAAGAACAGTTACCAAATAGTCAAGCATACTTCATTTCTTTTCTCATATTTTCCTCTTTTCCACCCGTGTCATACTGGTGTCTTCTTATCAATAGTCATTTTATAACCCCCCCCCTAAAGTCTCAACAGACACAATGTCCTACCTTCTGATTCTGGTGCCCAATTCCTGGCTTTCTTCGGAGGGACACTTTCTGGCTCTTTATTTTTCAGGCTTCGTTTCTTGGCCCGAAGTTTCTGTCTTCTACTAAGCTTCTTTTCTTCTCCATCTTCATCTGTCAGGAAAAATGTAGATTGTATTACTAAAAAGCCAATCAAGGTGTCAAAACATGTAAGAATAACTCAACTGTGTGCACCCTGCACTAATGATTAACAAAAATAACTTTTCTTATGTTATCTTAGTCTTGATATGTAAATGATGCCAGTGTAGTTGATGGCTTAGAAAAAAGTATATGTAACTGTGATAGAACCAATCAAGGCATCAATATAGCAACCATGTTTTACTTTTACAGGAGAAATGCGCTCAAAGTCGGCGCGCTGCCTTTGTTTGCCAGAGCGTAGAGTTTTATTTTCCTTTAGTACACCCGGCGTCATTGGGTTAACCCAATACCGACGGGCCACCTGCTGAGGCGTCATAACAAACCACTCAATCTGTGGAGTGCAGCTGTACACCGTAACGACGAGCCAAAGTGCTACAAGCCAGGGGTTCAGCTTAATGTAGCCAACCCCCGCACTCAAAGTCAGCTCATTGCCATTAATCTCCAGAGTAAAGAGGGTCTTTTAATTTTCTTCATCCATCAGTATGGGTTTAAACAAAAAGCATACCATTATGCCCATTTACTCATTTACTCTATAACTCTAACAGGTCTAAACACAATTAACAAAGAAATCACAGTGGACATGGCATGTATGCCATGCCATCCCAGCACAAAGAGTAAACAACCATAACATGGTTACTGAAAGTAACAGTCATATTGAATACATGTGACTATCAAAGTAAAGTGATAGTACAGCACATGAACCTAGGAACCAAGAGCAAGCAGACTCAAGTCCTACGCATGGTCCAGCATTATGAAGGGCATCCACTCAGGGGAGTGGTCTTTAACCCCTTGGTGCCGGGTATGACGTGTACGTACGTGCTATGCCCACCGTGAGTACTTGTTTGATTGTTTTTACGCATAGATGGCAACACTTGTACTAACTCCCCAATGAGCCAGTTACGAGCACCGCCCGTCTCGGCCGTTTACCCGTTTCTTTGATTTACAAAATATTTTACGTAATCTTATTTTGCTGTTACTAATGTTAAAAAACATTATAAAAATTATAATGTTTATGATAAAAATAACACCATCGATTTTCATAGCCCTAATGAAAAATACGTTTTTCCCGCCATTTAAAACAGGCGCTAGCAGAGCCATCTATCGGCAGACATTTTACGAAAAATATAGAAAGTGGGCACAATATTTTCCCCATTTTTTGTTCATTTTCCCCGGCACCATTGGGTTAACCACTCGATCTGTGGCGTGTGGCTATAAACGGTGGTGGCGCACCAAAGCACTACAAGCCAGTGATTCGGCTTGATGTACTGAACTCCCGCACTCAAAGTTGGCACGTTGCCATTGATCTTCAGAGCGTAGAGTTTTTTTTGTTTTTTTCTTCACCCGTCATCAAATAAGGGAAAAGTGTTGCAGAAAAATGTGCTTTCAGCCGCAGTCTATTCAGTACTCCCAAGTTTTAGCTGTACCTTCCATGCATACCAAGGTAAATACAAGGTTCTCCAGGGGGGTGTTGGGGCAAAGCCCTCCAGTCAAGTGCCTGAAGGGTATGCCCAGTCACAATAACTGAATATGAAAATTGTGACACGTTGTCACAGTGCATCTGTACTGTTAAGAATTACCAATACCCTCTATATTCTCAGTTTGTGATGGATTTATCATGGAGAAAAATGTTTTAGAATTTTCGCTATTTTATTCACGTCTATCATTTACCGTCTGGATAAAACCTACACAACTGTGAATGTGACCAATCAAAGAACAATTACGAAGATGGAGTCAAATACACCGGTAAACTACCTTAAAATCCTGGAAAATATAACCTTAGTTATCTACAATGCTCATCAATATGATCGGAGA